GCCGGGTACCAGGTCCTTCCTAGGGTTCAGAGGAGCCACCCTCCCCCTCCTCCTCCTCCTCCTCCTCTGCTTCTTCGTCTTCTTTTTTTGGTTAATCCTCACCCGAGGATATTTTTCCATTGATTTTTAGAGACAGTGGAAGAGAGAGACAGAGAGAAACATCGATGGGAGAGAGACACATTGATTGGTCGCCTCCTGCACGCACCCTGACTGGGGCCGGGGGAACCTGCAACCCAGCTACGTGCCCTCGATCGGAATCGAACCCGGGACGCTTCCACCCGCAGGCCCAACGCTCCATCCTCTGAGCCGCACCGGCCAGGGCCCAGCCTCCTCCTTTTTAAGGAGACGGATGTGTCCCCCGAAGGTGAACGTGCTTAGATTCAGTGGATGTGCCCGTGTGGGTGAGTGTGAAAAGGCCCAGCCCTGCCGGGCGGCTCCCTCTCCTGCCCTTTCACAGCCCAGGGGGCCGCCACCGACCACTGGCCGTTGGTGGAGAGATGAGCGGGAGGAGCGGTGGCTGTCGATCCCGGACAGGAAGAAAGGGCCCCGCCCAGCAGGTGGGTCCGAGCCCCGGAAGGCACCGCCAGGCCGCCCCGCTCTGCAGCGGAGACAGAGAGAGAAGTTTGTCTCCTCGGAACGGAATTGGATTAGTGACAGACTTGAGCAGCCGGCTCAGTCAAGAGAGAACTGAATTCCTCCTGTATTTCACACGCGGCTTGTTTAATCAGATGTGAGGCGTCGGCTGGCAGAGGCGCGGGCAGCCCCGTGTCTGCGAGGAGACTGTGTGTTCCTTCGGTCGTGGTAGGGAACTGGCAAGCGGCTTCACGCGGCCCCTGGGGTTTCTCGCCTCCCGGCGGAGCTGGGCGTGACAGGGACTTGCGTGGTCGGCCCTGTCTGGGTTCAGAGTTGTGGGCAGTGGGTGGCAGAGGGGGTCACTCACTTGTCCTCGGCGTGGCTCAGTGGTTGAGCATCGACCTCTGAACCGGGAGGTCACGGTTCGATTCCCGGTCAGGGCTCATGCCGCCCGGGTTATGAGCTCCATCCACAGTGTGGGGCGTGCAGGAGGCAACCAATCAATGATTCTCTCTCATCATTGATGTTTCTATCTATTCCTCTCTGAAATCGATACATATATATATATTTATACATACACACACACTGTATACATATATATATACAGATATATATATCTGTGTGGGTGTGTATATATATATATATATATTTTTTTTTCTTCTTTATTGGATAGACCCAACACAATGTGGGCTCGTGTGAGGGGTGAGGGGTGGCGAGGGCTGGCAGGCAGAGCGGAACGCTGTCAGCCGGTCCCGTGAGTGTAAAGAAGGCCGCAGAGAGCGTGTCCTTTACGGAGAGCTGGCTGTGTGCCATCCCCTCCGATCCCCTCCCTTCTCTTTCACGAACCCCTCCTGCCCGTAGCTGCCCTGTCCATGTGACGGTCAGCGAGCTTTCTAGAAAGAGCAGGCGGTGAAGGATCCCACGGGTGAGGAGAGCGTGCCCAGGGGAGGCGGGAGGCTGAGCGGACCCCCCATGCAGTGGAGCTGGCAGACACTGTCCGCTGCGCCTGAGGGGGGTCCCTCAGCAAACCCCCCTGCCCTGGGGCTCCCCACCTGGAGAAAAGCCGCCCCAGGCACCTCCCCGCTGACCCTCCTCCACCGCCTGCCTCCCTCCCTCCCCTGCTCCCCCGTGGGAGATGCGGGGAGGCCGCTGGCCCAGGAGGAGGGCATGTTCACGTCCAAGATAAAGGATGCCGCCGCCGAGGGGGAAGCAAACACAGGCCGAGGTGGCGATGGGAACGGTTCCAGCGGCAGCAGGCGGCTCGTGCAGTGATTTCCTCCCACAACAGGAGTCCTGGTGGAATTGTCAGGGCGAGAGACGGGGCCGTGGCCGGCAGCCAGGGCTGCCGTGGGCAGAGGCAGGCGGC